TGGAACGGTGCGGTGCGGTGCGGTGCCTGGGCAATGGATACTAGACCCGACCCCCAAACTCATAGAGGGGTCGGTCCCGTCTGGTCTGTCTCTGTCGCCTTCATATTGGAGTATGTATCTTTCTGTTCTGTTCTGTTTTGTTCTGTTCCTAGGCCGAGGACTGGGGACTGGGATTGGGGTCTGGCCGATTCAAATTCGGATTCGCGGACTCGGACCGGGGTGAATGCGAAATGCGAATGCATTTCAATAATTTGACGTCGAGGGGCCGTCGCTTAGAAAATTATTATAAATTTTTCTCTCTCTTTCTCTCTCTCTGCCCCAATGCAACCCTACCGCTGCCCGCACACCCTCCCCACCCTGCCGCCTTGTTGCATTGCCATTATCGTTGCCTTGCTGCTGGCTTTGTTTTTGTTCTGCTTCAATAATAATTTTGACCCACTTTTGCGCTCGACTTGACTTTTTATTGTACTGAAATTAAGTATTATTTTTTTGTACGTTTTTTCTTTTATTTCAGCTGTGCGATGTCTGCCGGCCGTGCTTCTGCTCTCCGCTTATTTTTGAGGGCAAGACAAACACAGTCGCTCATAATAATATTTGTACGTATTCTTTTGGCAAGCAGTGAGAACAAAACAACCGGGTAAATATTTTTCAAGTCTCGGCTAATTGCCGGCTGCGATTCAGAATTCTCTAGCTGCTTCTTATCTCCGTTCTCCGCTCGTCGCTCTTCGATCCGCACCCGAATATGTCCCCCCTCCCACCACTTGCTGTTGTTGTTGTTTTTGTTGTTTTATAAATTGTCGTGCACTTTGATGATTGTATTGTTGTTTGCTAAAGCTAATTTCTTGACGTCACCTGGAAGTTGTTATTGGAATGTCCCAGCTGAAGGGTGGCCAGAGATTCTCAACCAATTTGCATTGCAAATTGCTCGGAAACTATAATAAAGGGTCGAACTTTGAGCGAATAGCATGACTAACACTAAAACTAAAACTAAACCGAATTATCTTCCGGCTAACTTTTCAAAAAGTTTTGAAGGACCTTTCCTTGTCTGCGTGGGAGGTTTTCTTTCTATTCCATTGAATGAATTATTTAAATAAAATTCTAGAGCTCTTCTAGGTAGTGAAATGCGAAGAAATTTTTAAGCAATATTCACAGTTCCGACAATACTCGCATTTTGTTCCCATGTCCCCATGTCTGCCGTATAGCCTGATTCGTTCCCTTATCATTTTATATTTGCTTTTGCAATTATGCATTTGTTTTTGTTTGTGTGTTTTGCTTGGCTTTTTTTTCGCAACGGTAAACTTGTTTGTAAATTATTTTTATTAATTTTTGTTGCTCTTTTCTTTTCTTTTCTGTCTGTTCTTTTTTTCCATTGCAATTTTCTCATATTGTTTGTTTTTGCAATAAACAACAACAGCAGCGGCACGGGAGACTGCAGCTGGAGGGGCACAATCCGTGGGGTGAGCGGGCGGGTTCGGCTCTTCAACTATGCCACTGCAGCCCCGTTGCTCCCCTTGCTGCATCGTTGTTAATCATTGCAATTACAACAGCTGCAGCGACAGAGCAACCTGGCCAATTGACGCTTACACGCTTCCATTAGAGTCGAGCGGGCGTTCTGCCCCAATCCCCACTCCCCCCTCCCCATAGCCAAGGGGTCTGGCTGTCAGGTAGGGGCGTGTAGAGCGGGTGACAGGGAACTAAGGATCATTCGAGCGTTAAAAATTAGCACTGACGCAACGCATTCGCCGCGTAAATTGACATTTACGCGATAATTACGCGCTTATTATATTTATTACCACTTTTTTCCGCATTTAATTCGCCTTCCATTTTTTCGCCCTCGGCTCTTGTTCTCCTTTATGATTATTTCTTTGTTTTTTGTTGCTTTGTTTTGCCCTTTGAGCGGGGTGTTTTGCTATGTGTGTGCACTTGGAATATTTTACTATTTGAATGACCCATGAGATCGAGCTGGGTATCTGCAAATTCTGTCCAATAAAGTTTCCACTTAGCCTGTGTAGGGTATCTTTAGTGTCGGACTTGGAAGCTTTTATTTTCCTACTCTGGGTTCTTTGTCCATATTATGGCTTTAAGTGACAGTTTGAGGGTCTGCTGACTGGAGGGGCTTTTGCCTGCGAAGGATGCCCGAAGATGTTCTCAAAATATTTTGGGAAACTCTCATTCAACCATAACCTCAATAACAACTATTATGTGACTGAATCTGGGCAAGGTGTAAATATTATTTAACTGTTGATTTGTTTATCCAGCAAATTATCCAAAATAAAAAAGGGGTGGGGGAAATTAAAGAAAAACGTTGCTCGCATTGGAAAATAGATTTCTGTTTACCCGAACTATCAGAGCATACCCCACATGAGGGGCAGGGGTGGTGTGGGGTGGGTTGGTAGATCGGATCGGGGGTAAACTATGTAAATTAATAATAATAAAAAGAGAACGTTTTAAAAACAAAATTCCGAGGGGGAAAGAAGCTCGCGCACGTAAACGAGAAAAGCACATTTCAGATTATGGCATGGAACTGGAACGGGCAGTCGGGCACGGGGAGCACGAGGGGGGCTTTTGATATTACGTCGCATTACGTGAGAAGCGCGTGTCTGTTGATGAGCCAAGGGGGCGGCGGTGGCGGTAGCGATGGCGGGAGCGGGCTCCGTGCAAGGTGAGCGAGTTGTTATCATTACACGTGTGCCTCTCTCTCTCTCACTCTCTCGCTGTATCGGAGGGGGCTGGCTGGCTGGCATATCAAAACATCAAGCCACATAAAGAATATGGCGACGATAGACGACGACACACACACACACACACATACATCCCTCGAGTGGGAGAGCTTATTTGCGTATCGGTGTGTGCGAAACATACTATAAACGAAAAATACTTCCGCGTTCGCATTCGCATTCGAGTTCGAACTCAATGAAACAATAACAACATGGATCTGGACTGCGACTGAGACTGAGGCAGAGAAGGAGGGAATGGAGTGGAATGGTATGCGGCAGAGGCTGCGCGACTGAGCAAAGATAAACGAAACAACAACAAAAGTGCAACGGACCCGGCAAAAGCCGGCAATCGAGTACGGTATGCCCGGACACTCATATGGCAACAGGGTAGATGGTATGGTAAGGTAAGGTATGGTGTGTGGGTGTAAGAATGTTACAAAAACAGAAGGAAGAGCTAGAGGATAGAAGACTAAATAATCCACAAAGCAATCAACTAACATCGAGTGCTATCATTGGCTATTTAGCATTAATTTTCCTAGTTTTGTAATTCGTTTTTGGATATTATTACATATTTTGTAAACAATATATTGGCTGCTATGTCCTATGGCATTTTCTGTGCACTACAGGGTGTCAGATGCCGCAACAGAGAATGGTCTACTTCGCTCTGCTCTGCTCTGCTCTTCGCTGGCATTGTAATTAATTAAATTAAACTGGCGCAGCAACTCGCACTGAACTCAATTGAATTTTATTTGAATTTTATTACAGACAGCGGACACAATGGAACTGAACTGAACGGAATGGTATGGGGTATGGTTTGGTTTGGAACGTGGTTGATGTTGACTTTGGGCTCTTGGCGGCGGGCTTTGCTCTGGCTCTTGGCGCATTGCAGTTTCTCTTCACAACGACGACAACTATTGTACAATGATTTTTAGTTTTAGCTGCAGCTTTTCTAGCTGTTCTTTTTTTTTGTATATTTTGTTTCGACTTTGGATGGGTCGTCGCTCGCATTTGCGACGCAATTGAAGTTCCATTTCCCCCCAAACGAATCCCCACCGCCGCGCCGGGACATGACGCGCCATATTTTGCCCGCCCGTTTGAGCTTTTTGTTTTCCGCTTCTGTATTCTCGCGTCTTTCTAGCCACCCGCCAGCCGCCAGCCGCCACCCGCCTCTTTCCCGCCTTTTGCTTTCTTTATTTTGATTATTATTGTTATTATTTTATTATCAATTGAGAACGTGGCCGGCATTCAGCGATGCGATCCACAGCCTTTGCACACTTAACTAATAGTTTCGACAGCGGCGCGCGAAGCTTATCAATTTAAATTGAAATGAAATACGCAACAATCAGCAGGGCGATGCTCCGCTCCGTTCCAGAAAAGTCGAAGTGGGAATGCTCTATACAGAATAGAATCTTCTAGGAACTTCCAAGACAGGATTAACTACATAGAGGGACTCTGAACTACTTAATACGAGTGTAAAATTCAGCAACGTAGACTGCTGCTGCTGCTGCTCTGCTTTCTCTATCATATTCTTATCGCTCCTAATCAAATGTTGGTATATCTCATTTTGTTTTTTGTTTGTTGTTTGTTTTTTTGTCGACGTCTTCAACTTCGACGTAGTCGTCGCGACGTCTGAGCGGACAGTAATTGAAAATTTGAATTATTTTGCAATCAGTTGTCGTCCCGTCCCGTTCCGTTCCGTCCCGGCGGAACAGTTTGTGAAAGCAAGGCAGGCACTCGTCTGTCTCGCTGTCTCGCTGTCCCTCTGTCTCTCTGTCTGGCTGTCTGGAGGGCTGGATAGAGTGGGCTTGGAAGCTCTTTATGTAAGTGCAGTTACAGCGGCAGCGGCGGCGGTGGCGTCTATGCTAAACAGCTAAACACAGCACACAGCACTCGGATAAGACGTACGGAATGCAACGCGGCTCAGACAACTCTATATACGAGTATATATAGGGGAGATATTTTTACATTAAGACGAACGATGTCCGTGACTGGCTGGCTGGGGCTGTCTTGTTCCGCTAATTTGTCGCCGCTTATAAATTATTGATATATGTATGTACATACAAACATATGTACGTACATATGTACGAGTTTGTAGCCTAGTGCCGAACCTAGACAGACGCCACAGACGTTGCATATTTATGCAAAATAATCGAAAAACAGAGAACGGAATAATATCTTTTTAAACGGGGCACAAGCGAGCAACCCAACCGAGCCATTCATACTCGTATTCGTATTCGTTTATGTTTGTTGTGTATATGGGGGGGATCGATTTCATCTACTCACTTGTGCTGGCCCGTCAGAGGTGGCAGCACCTCAATACTGTGGGTGGTGGTGCGGCGACGGTCCCCACTCATGTCGGCGAGCCGGGCAAAGTCCGTGTCGCGATCCTGGTCGGCCAGGCGTGCCGAGCGTCTAGATTCCAGCAGACGCACTTCCTCCAGACGCTTTTTCAGCTCAATGGGTTCCTGCAGGAATAGATAGAGAGGGTCTGGTTAGTCAGAGGTTTCTTATGTCTTATCGCAAAGGTTTTCTTTTTTTTTTTGTTTTATTTGCTGTGTTGTGTTGTCGAGTCGGTGACTCATTTGTTTTAATTGTTGCTGTGCAACTTTATTGAGCATCCCATAAAAATAATAAATGACTGTTAAACGTACTTAGAGCGCAGACTTGCAAGCGATTCTTAATTGAATAAATGACAAAAAAATCCAATGATGTGTTTGCCTCAACGCCCCCGCCCCCCCCAAACTGGCCACTGTTCCATTGTCACGCAAGGAAAAATTCTACACAAAAATTAAATATACATTAATTTGTAGTACAGTTTTCCTGGAAAATCGGACTGATCAAAAAAAGTAGGGCTCTAATAATTTCCGAGAAATGAAAAACCAATTAAATGATAGTCACAACAAAACAACAATCCGAGTTAAATTCTGATGAGGGGTTGTTTTCAAGGTTAATTACAGACCACAATTCCGGGCTTTACGGGCTAGATTCACTCCATATAGACATGGCGAATATGTAAAAATCTCTGAGCTGGCGCGTGGGTGCTGTCAATGCAACTGACGCCGCTAATTGAGAAACTACACTCTGCCAGATATACTCGTGTATGTATCTTTAAAATATGTATATATAATATATCTGTAACGGGCGACCTTGAACGCTGTTAACTTGGTTACAGAGCCCCGTAAAACAAAAATATTTGTCCAGATTTCAACTCTTAGGGCATGCGGATGTACATATTTTTATTTGGCGAGCATCTTTATATAATAAAATCACCTTGGGTGCTAGTAGCATTTATTTATTTCTTGCACAATCCGCTTGCAGGTTCAACAATTGATTGTGACACTTATTATGCCGAACAGCAGCAGAACATCTGCGCTTAGTTAGTGCTGTTTAGTGTATCTTTATTTAAACAATTTTTGCCTCAATCTTTTCTTTTCACTTTGTCACTTTGCACTGGCAACAGAGCCAAAATTAAATCAAACTAAACGAAAGTGTTTTTTTTTTTTTGCCTTTTTGCTGTGTGTTGCACAAACAATTTAATTTGTATGATATTTAGTATTTTGTATTTAGTATTTAGTATTTTGTGGCTAGATATTTATTACAACCGCGATGATCTGATCGATAAGATTGGGGCAGCTGTGGCAACTAGATTGACATTTTCGCGTTTCCCGTTGAGCGGTTTTCGAGTCGTGTCGTGGCGTGGCGTGTCGCCTTCTGGCTTTCTGGCTTTCAATTTGTTGAATGTGATGTGCGTTGATTGGGCACAAAAAGCCGGCCGGCAGCGGCGAAAGCGACAGCGGTATAACGGTAGCTGGCCGAATGCGTCAGCGGCGGGGCGGCGTATCTGTCAGATACAACGCACACACGCACTCTCTCACACACTCAAACAATCACACACACACACACACGCACTCTCACGGCACACAGCGTTGACGTCGCAGCGGCGTGTGTTTATTTTTAATTATTTAAATTATTTTCTTGCTTCTTTTTTTGGCTAACTTCTTCTTCGTTTTGGTTTGTGAATTTGGGGTACTAGGCCTCGTTCCTAATTTGTTTTTATGCGTGCCACCACCTCTCGCTCTCTCTATCACTCTCTATCGCGGCGGAAACGTTGCGTATCTGCGTATCTGCGAATCTCCGTATCTCCGTATCTGTGTATCTCCACACGCACTCGCAATCGCAATTCCCACTTCGCACTTGCACGAACTTCACTTGCACTTTTCTCCTTTGTATCTTGTGTTGTGTTTCGAGTTGCTGCTGCTGGAGTTGTCGGCTGCGAACTTGCGAATTTGTAGCTGGCGGATTTGTATCTGTTTTGGGGCTGGCGGATGGCTCTCTTGGCTGGTGCGAAACGTTCGCGCGCGCATTCAAGAATGATTCTGTGCGGTGCTCGCTGGCGCTGCTGCTGGTGTCCGCCGGGCCACAGTGGACTCGGCTTTTGCGCTCGCTCGGCCGGTCTCGTTCGGCTTTTGGGGGGCTTTCGTTGGGGAGCTCTGCGGCTCGGCTCTCTTTGGCACGCTCTGCTCTCTTTCTGCTCAGGTGACGGCGGGGGAGACAACGACCGACCACCACCACCACCACCACCACCCTGTTTGCGCTCTCGCTCTGGCCTTCGCCATCCCTTTCTGGCATTCGCGAATTTTCCGGTTTCTCGCGACGTTTGTTTTTGTTTCTCTGCTTTGTGCTGGCCTTTCGCATGCTTTGCCGTTTTGTTTATGTATCTCAATCCCTGCAACAGCCGTGCACTCGCTTCCGCTCTCGCTCTCGGCTCACACGATGTGCTCTCTGCGCCGACGCCGCTGCCACTGCCGCCGCTCTCCCATTCGCTCATTCACTCAATTTTGCTCGACACTCGCGAAATGCAAACCTGAACTGAACCGAAAAACAACTCACACTCGAAGCACTCGCAAGCGATTCCCGTTTACGTAACTCAAGCGAATTGTACTTACGGGTTTGGTTTATCGGTGTATCTTTGAGCTTTTCCGACGTCCAATGTTCAACGTCCCGCCGTCCCCCCCCCTACGTTTGTATGCTGCAGCTACAGCTACCTGCGTCGCCGCAGTGTGCAGTCACAAAACTTGCTTTATATAATGTGTTTACGTTTACCTGTCGCCCGCTGCCTGCCGCTGCCTGCCCAACGGATCCCGATCCCCTGTTCACCGTCCCCCTCATAACGAAGCCTTTGTCGCTGCCGCGACAGCCACTGATCGCCGTTCGCTCGCTGTTCGCTTTGATTTAAGAGCAATTAACTTTGACTTAAGAGAAATATTTCTGTTGTTTATGACGCGCCGGCCCGCTGACGATGCGATGACGAAACGGCAAACGGCAAACGGACTTTTTCTTTGGATATTCCTCATCCTCAATCTGTGCGATACCCTTGCAGAGGGTATTATGAATTTCAAGATATATTTAAACGTAAAATTATATTTATACATATATATTATTTGGGACTGCCAAATCATATAATTCCTCAATGCAGGGCTCCACCTGGAAGAGTATACAAAACTTCGACCTACACAAGACTTATTTTCCATATGTTTTGCGCCTCTTACTTCCTTTCTATGTCTGTTTCTCAGTTTCTGGCTTAGCCCATGCTGGGATTTTTGCACTTAGTAGGGGATTTTTAGGTTTAAGACTTAATGCCATCATGTTTATGCAGCGTTTATGACGCACACAATGACAGCAGCTGGAACATTTACTCATGACGGGGTGGCGGGCCGAGGCGCAGACGGAGCCGGGCTCGGGGAGGCTAATTTGAGCAGAGTTTATGGCGGGGAAAGCCCTGCCTGGGGCCAGTTGCTTGGAGAGCTGATGATTCTTGACCCCAATCGGGGCTATTGAGTAAGGTTTCTCGATTCGGTCCCAGGCCTATGGCTCTATTGGTGGCAAATTCCGTGAAATAAGACGAAACCAGTACTGGGCTATCAGCTGTTTTTCTTCCCTTCCCGACTCCAGGGAAAGGGAACAGGGCTCGACATAGACCCTTCCCACAGAGACGAAAATATTTGGAGTGCGACTGGACGTCTGCTTCTGTTTCTGTTTCTGCGTTTGTGCTGACCAATACGGGTTGCTGATAGCCACTCTCGTATCTCCAATCTGCACCGCAAAACAGCTTATCGGAGACACAGACATGTATGTATGTATGTATGTATGTTTGTACGAGTGCCAGTTCAAAGACAAAACACGGCCCTTCTTGTGCTTTGGTTTCACTGCCACAAAAGTGGGCAAAACCACACCCAAAATGTGAATGCAGCCTGGGAATACCGCCAGAATGCGATGCGATTACGATTTCGATTCTGATTCCGATTCCCCTTCCCACAGACCACCAGACGGAGTCATATGTGTTCCACAGCTGATAATGAGTACCGCACCGGACCCCCAGATAAGGGGAAACCACAAGGCTAGCAGATGTACACACACAAACATATGCACAGACATTTTTGTCTGCCTAAGGAGTGATGGTGGGGTAGGAAAGGGCATGGGCAGGGCAGCGCAGGGCAGACGGCAATTACGTTGCTGAAACAACAACTAAACAAACAATCGAATGAGCCCGGGGTCGAGGCTGGGCCCGGTCCAGATACCCTGCGTATCTGCAGTGGCGCTGCGCATGCGCACAGATTTGTCACATGCTGCATCGCCATCGCCATCAGCCTCATTATGTTTATCAGGGAAACGTGCCAGACTCCCCCCATCTGTCACCCCCCCTCTCTCTCCGCCACATTGATCATTTTAAAAATGCGTGAACGCGTGCCGGAAACCTGCGGCGCATGCGCAATTTCGACTCGCAAAAGATATTCGCATTCGCACTCGTAAATATCTTCTCTCTGCTGTGGGAGCTCGAAAGCGCCGAAATTTATGAGTATGAGAGCGGAATGGGAATTGGGAATTGGCGATCGCATTGGGGCTATCAGAAATGGGTCGGAAGTGGAGCCTAATTATGGAGAATCGATTGGGGCAGAGATAGCCCAGACGGTGCTTAAATTTCTATATTTTGTATCTCAGCTGCATGACAAGTATCAAAAGATTTCTGCCAAGCTACAGAAAATACAGGCAAATAGTTAATTTTAATTTAAACAATTTGTATCTTAACGAAAATTACGTGATATCCACCTTTAAATACATTGAAAACTTGCAATAATTTTATCTTAACTTTATTTCTAACACAATTGGATGTTAAAATTCTTTTATAACTTCATAAAATTCTCATCAGCTCTTAAGCAAAAATATCAAAATATTCCACACATATTTCCCCACAATGACTCATAATTCGGAATGACTATATCAGATTTCCACACGACGTTTTTCTACATGCATTTATAATTGCTTTCACTTGATTTGCATATGAATTGCAGTGCAAATAAATATTTAGATGTGTTGTGAGCAGAAACCAGAAATGAAATGCAATTAATTTGCATCTAAACTGTTTCAAGACATTTCTATCAATGTTAATTGTGTGATGAAATTTCGTAGGCTAGAACGTAGAGTAGATATATTATTATATTATATTATATTATAAGTCGAAGTCCTTTATAGCCGCCTGCCTGCCTTCGACTTTCATCTATTGGCAGTTCGCCGAGTATTTACTCACACAATAACTGCGATCACTCATTGCCTACATGATCATGCACAGCCCGACTCCCGACTGCCTTGCACCCTCTTCACCGCCCGCTGGTTGCTGCCACCATTGACAGCCAGTTAAGTCCAATTAAAGGCTATCTGCGCGAACGTATCTAAGAGAGTGCTTGTATCCCATTGACCGGCGAGCAAATTGCCATATCCATGTCAGAGGAACTCCGGAGTCGCGCGAGTGGGTTTTTTCCTCATTTGTTTGACTAGCCCAGCCAGGCCCAAAAGGTTGCTGCTGCTGCAGGCTAATTGCCCATTACCCTGCCTCGGCCCTGGCAATTTTATTTGAGCCTAACTGCAACTCAAAGACTTTCAAATGTCCAACGAGGCCTGCTGCCAGCTGCTGCCAAATGGCCCGGCTTGGGCAATGATCTCCTGCTACGACTCCATCTCCATCTCCGGCTGCTGCAATTTTGCAAGAATACGCGAACGCAAACACAGACCGAAGCAAAGCGGATTGGAGCGGAGTGGTAGTGGAGGGGAGCGTTGCCCACGTGCTGAGCAGCACAATTTGGGTTAATTGTCTGCGGATCAGGCCCGCAAATGCAACTCCCCATTGTTGGGTGTGCTTAACGCCAGGTATTTTTGACACTCGCTGCCAATATGATCGAGAGGGGTAACCAGCCGGGGTCTGAGTCAGCCGAGTCGCAGAAGTGAACGATAATAAATTCTGCCATTGTCAGTGGAAGCGTTGCGACAAGGCAGCAAGTTCGTTCTCCCTTTGGTTCCATCTGGCTTGGCTTTGTTTTGTATCAGAATTTACGTAATTCCTTTCCCGATCATGCAACTTCTGGCTGCAATCGGGCGGGCTGCGTAATGCCAATTGCGATTCAACTTGAAATGGAAATGAAAATGGAAAAGGAAAATCGAAATCGAAATTGAATGACAAATTTGATTTGTATCGCATCGCCTTGCACTTGGCCGTGTGTGTGTGTGTGAGTCAATGCCGATGGTGCCATAGTATGCCGGAAGTGTTGCTGTTGCCTGTGCACATGTGAACATGAACATGGGGCGTGGCATGACAGCCCCCGCCCCCGCCACAGTCACAGTCACAGCTACAGCCACAGCCACAGCACTCCCTTCGCTTCGGCACTGTCCCTGCTCCCATTGACTCACTCAGCAAATGGAATTGAATATTGTTCGCATTTTTTGTGTGCTGTGTCTAAATTGAAAGCCACTTAACCCATTTCGAGCATAATGCGAAACAGTTTGAGCTGTCTAATGGGGTGGGGGTCTCTCTTCAGCTTTATTAGATGAGAGATGCGACGGCTGCTTGCTGCCCGCCTGCCTAATGAAGTTTGAATAAACAGACACAGCCACAGCAACAGCAACAACAACAACAGCGGCAGCAGCAGCAACCAGAAAAATCATTAAAGAAACTGTTTTTCTTTGTGGGTCATTATATAAGTAAGGCCGATCGTCCGATCCGTCCGTCCGTCCGTCCGTCCGTCTCACACTCACTTCTCTCGGCTATGAATGCGATTCGCTTTGCTTTCGCAATGAATGTTGGCCTGGTCAGGTCTTGGGTCGCGCTGAGATGATGCAAGCAGCATGGAGAGTGCCACAGTGCCAGAGTCCCAGAGCGGCAGAGCGAGAGCCACCCAAGGGGTGTTGAGCGCTGCTCATCGTTCGATCTCTGGTCTCCGATCAGTGGGTGGTGCTGACCGCCTCTCCCTGATGCCCGATGCCTGCTGGTTACTGGTTACTGCTGCTTGGGGGTTAGTTAAAGTTAAAGCTTACTTAAAAAAAGAAGCCTGGGAG